CAAAAAGTATTGGACCTGTTTTAAAAATAAAATCAATAGAATATCATTTCTCACTGAGTACATTGTTATTTTAATAGTGAGGAACTATACTAAATGTTTACGTATTTTTTTGCAGGGTTAGAGTCTTATCACAAACTTATATCCCAAACGATAAATTATTAAGCATATAAAAATATTTTTTGTTATTTGAAATACTTATTTATATTAAGAGATAACTAGCAACACTAAATAACTTATTCCCATGTTAAATAAAATACATAGACACAGAAAACTAAACAACGCACATAGTGAGGCCGGTGAGCAACGCTTCGAGTGGAAAATACTTATATTATTTCTTCACTAAAAATATATATTTAAAATGTCGCTTTTTGATTCCACTGAACGACTACTAAAATTTTTAAACAATCATTCAAGATGAGATTAAATTACTTACAAGGCAAACATAAAGGGCTGTTCTTTTCAATGTAAAGAATTATTTAAAAAATCTACGAAAGTTATTCATGGAATGAATCGTATTATAAATGTAAAGGCTATGGAATGAGTTATAGCGGAAATACAAGCGCTATTTTACATTATAATATAAGCTGTCAAAAAATTATTGTACTAAATAACGATTTACAAATTAGCGCATAAGTGACTCGCACTAAGCTTCGTTACAGAATCATATTGTTTATTCTAAAGAATAGTAGAATATAGACATATTGTTATAAGCCTGTGATGGCATTATTTGACCTGAATTACCTGCATGTGATAATATTATATCGCCCGGTTTCCAAATTGAGAATTTAAAAATAGAAACCTCTCAAAATAAACTCAAAAATCACTTAAACAGCTTTTCGTTTCTTATATTACTTTTTTAATGATCAGTTGATAGCAGTTTAATAAAACTAGAACATTTTGACCTGTGAAACGTAAAAAACTTAAGTTATTGAGAACAGCTCGTTGAGATTTTGTACTTTTCTCAATTCAGAAACCGGCTGTTAAGGTATGATCAGTAAGGTTTCCGCCAACCATAGCTATCGACCTCTATGGTTGGCGGTCATTAATTTACGTAGTTATATTTATTTCTATAGAGTCCGTTTCTGAACCCGCTTCCGCCCTTGTTACCGCTATCAGTGATACCGCATCCTTAAACGTAGCATACCCGTCGCGTACAATTACGGCAAAAATAAGGAAAAGACCCGTTATGAGCTTCCTGTTCCTGTGTTCTTGATACTAAGTCGTGTTATGTTACTGGAATACAGATGAGCTGTGATCTTGTAGCTGGTTAATAGATCACGTTTCGTACGTCAAATATAAAATTTAACATGTAAATTAAATGTATAAATAAATATTTAAACAGTTTACTGATAAATTTATTCTTTCTATTTAAAAAGAAATTAGAAATCGGTTTATTTATAAATAAAAATATATTACATGATTTTTAGTGATATTTAATTTTTTGTTGAACATAGAAATTCCTCCATACGGATTTTGAATAAATGCAAAATACGCTATCTTTTGTTTTGTCGTAGATAAACATGTCGTCTAAATATTTTGGTGATATTCTAAAGGCATATTTTCTTTTGTTATAAAAACAAAGTACCGAATGATTTATATGAAAAAGTTGCGTATGCTTATTTTATTGTATTGTTATTATTATTCGATATTATAAGGATCTAAATAGAAATAATGTATTTAATTTTTATTTTAAAGTCTGTGTTCGACTCCCGACCAGAGAACTAGTTTAATTAAACCCTGTATACTTTACTCACTGACTTGATACGCGCACTTGACGGCACCTCCAATGTGCGTTGTTAAGTCACCCATCAAGTAAAACCACATAACGTAAGACTTTTCAAGTGGACTTGATCATCTCCGGGATCGATTAGGTTATGTCATAATTATAACTGTGACCAAAACAAACAGCGAGCGTGCAGCTGTTGTATTATTCGCCCGCATGGTTGTGGTTTTTATTTCCTATTTTGAATTGATTTCGCATTTTTAATATTGGTATGAAAATAAATTTTAGAAAAAGATTTTAGAAAATTTTATAATTATAATATTTATTATGATGCATTAATGTGTAAAGATGACTCTGACTTTCTAAATTAGGTATAAGTGTAGAATATATACCATATTGACTATACATATGTCATTCGCTGTTCTGCATAATAACATTGAAAGTTCTGCCATAAAAGGAGACCGTTGACATTATATTATGGAAGAAAAAGAAAAATCACCATTGCCAGTTCCTCGAGCTATTAATTCGCCTGGATGCGTGTTTTTTTTTTATTAGACGTTCAATGTATTTAAGTTTCTTGAAAATTTGGCTGTTCGCAAAAAACTTATGATATACACTAACACTAACAGAAAATAAATATAATACAAAATCTGTTTCTACAAGAATATATGTAGTTCGAAGGACATTTAACTATTATGGAGTTAGAACTCCTAGTAAAAAAAAACCGTATTTAATAAAAAATAAGGTTAATAATAAACCGAATGAGGCACGAGAAAAATAGAAATAAGTTTAATGTCCTTCTTAAAAAACATTTAGTAAGTATTATTACATAAGAATAATAAACTTAGTATTCAGTTTTGTAAAACAACCTTCATTTTATGTTTTAATTGTTAGTCAAACTACGAGTACAAGATAATTTTCTGGGACTTTTGTTAAATGTAATGTAATTTGAATTTAAATTGAAGAATAAATAAATTCAATTAAATTCGTTAACGAATTTGCTAATTTGAGGCATTTTTATGTCCCACTATTGTAAATTTTAATAAAAGCTTTCTCAAAGACTGCTAGCATAGTTTTGTAAGTGGGCAATCTGTTCTTACAAATCTGTTCCCTTTCGTTCCAGAATTGTCAGAGGAAGTTGACAAGGGCGTGAAGGTTGATGCTATTTACATAGATTTTAAAAACGCCTTTGACAGAGTTAGCCACACTATCCTTTTAAAAGAAATGATTCCAGGAAGAGAAAATCTTTTATGACAAGTTACGAGCTGGGTGGCGTAAAGCTCAATTAAGAGGATGCTGTGCGTGATCTTGGTGTAGTTGTAGACCATGGAATGAAGTTTAATTTGCACGTAGATTGAATAATAACAAAAGCCAGTAAAATGCAGGATTTATCAAACGTAATACTAAATAATTTACTAGGATCGATACCAAAATTAATCTGTACAATGATTTAGTTCGTAGTCATCTGGAACATGCTTCTTGTGTTTGGAGTTCGTATTACAGCGTATATTCTCAGAGAATTGAGACCATACAACAGGCTTTTACTAGGCGTCTTTCTGCACCAGTGGTTTCACTCATAACAACCGTACATACGTCTAGCTAAATTCAAGTTAACAAGCGTTCGCAATCGCAGACGTTTATTGGGTATATGTTTTTCTTGCAAAGTTATTGACGGAGAAGATAATGTAGCGAACTTATATCACGCATGTCGCTTTCGGTGCCTTACAGCTATCCAAGACGCAGCTTTGTCAAAACAATTTCGCCCTTCGCTAGGACCAATTCGATTAAAAAGTCTCATATGGTAAGAATTTGTAACGACTACAATAATTTACAAATTATTTATTAAGCCATGATATATTTGGTGACAGTTTGAGTAAATTCAAATCGAAAATTCAATCAAAATTATCAAAGTCGGTTCTATATTTTTAAAAAAGTTTTTTATTTCATGCTTTTAAGTGATATTGATATTTTTATATAACAGGTAACACTAAAAATACTTTTCTGAAAACCATCAAAACCGTGTTAAAGTGCGAACTTCCATTTTTTTGTCTGTTATTATACCTAAAATCTTCTCCAAAGTCTGACAAATACTATGCTATAAATTGAAACGGGACCACACGGCAAGCACTAGCTTTCAAATAAAAAAATAATTAATAAAATCTGTCCACCCACTAAAAAGTTATGAGGTTACACACAGAAAAAAATACAGTCGAATAAAGAACCTCTTTCTTTTTTTTATGTTAGTTAAAAATATTAAACACGTGTTTTTTATTTTTTTTCGTGATCATTAAATTACGACGATACATTGTGTTAAAATGTCACATGACGTCACGCTTGTATATGTATTTTCTACAAAACTGTGACGTAGCTTTATCCAGTCTTCATCCCTAATGGAGTTATTTGAAATATTGTGCTAGTCTGATGTGTAACCATGTGTACAATGGGTTTAACGTAAGTAGCGTAATATATTTAGCAAAGTCTGCAAATTAATAAAAAACTACATTAAATTATATCGTTAGCATACAACAGTTCGTTAATTGATGGTTTCAAGCTAAAGTTAACAAATATCCTTAAGCTAAAGTTAGCCATTTCAATTATAGACGGATTATTTAGTCTTTTCTAATAAGATTTTTTTCCAATGAGCTTATACTTTTAATTAATGGTTTAGTGTCGCATCTTATCAATAAATAACTTTGTATATGTATTTCCATAACCACTACATAGTTCGCTTTCTCTGTCCCTATATATGCTTAAATCTTTAAACTACGCAACGGATTTTGATGCAGTTTTATTTCATAGATAGAGTAATTCAAAAGGAAGTTTTTTTATGTATAATGTAAGACCACGCAGGCGAAGCCGCTAGCGGAAAGCTAGTGATTCATAAATAGTTTTTATTTTTATCATATGGCGTAATATCATTATTAGCTTTATGATTAGTGTGACTGTTTTACTTGCCGGTAACTCTGGCTGGCATTAGACAATAGAACAAGAGGGTGCTTTTCCGCGCGAAAGTACAAAGGGTGTTGACCTCATTCGGGGATAGCCGATTAAGTTTACGCATGCGTTTGAACTCGAAAGAGGGTGGCGTGATTGTTTCGAAAATAGAATAACCTAAAAACTATTCTAAATTTAAAACTTTAAGAATAGTTTCGAACGTTTATTATTCGTACTAACACACTAATAGTAATTAGGTATAACTGAATGTTCGGTTATTGTTTATCGAGTTGAAATTCTTTTGTTATTTTTTTTCATGAATAGAGTATTGTTTTAGATTTACCTGTAGTTGATGTCAGGAGCCTCGAACACGTAAATTGATCCGTATATGCCGGCTAAATACACAGGAAAGAGTAAAAAAGCATAGTTCACTATATTATATCTGCCGAACGCGCCTAATTCCGCTAAAATTGGATCCAATTCGACGGCCGGTCTTTGATTAACCATCTTCTTAACTTTGATTACTGGCTTAAAACACAAATTTCTTAATAAATATATTAACTTTAATACAGATATTTAAATAAAACACATTTCGCTACCACTTGGCACTGGGACGCGTGTTTATGACTTTGACATTTGCCGCGCATGCGCTTAAAGAACTATTTTCAGTCATCACAAATATTTTTTTCTTATTTAAACTTTTTATTTTCAAGCAACGTCCGATCTCACGCTCTCTGCCACGAAAATAAACAAGTTATAACGCAACTAAAGTTGAAATGTCATTTGTTATCGTAACTGCTTTAGAGAGAGACGGCATGATAAACAAACAGGATAAAGTGTTTTTAAATTATTCGATACATACGAGAGAGTGTGAGATGTGAAAGAACAGTTTAAAAAATAAATTACATAGTTGTTTTTTTTTCTAAATTTTACCTGTATTAACTCAAAAGGGAATTGCGTATTTTTTTTCAGAATTAAGAATTTAATTGTGTTATTTGTGTAATGTGTAAATTTAATTGTGTAAAAAGTTATTCACATTTTTTGTTATAAGATACTCCTAGGATTTTTTTAAATCTAATATTTAAGTATTAAAAATAACAATAATATATCCCTGTTTATTTTAATAAATTGACAAAAACTACAACTGACAGTCTCCGGCTCTATGGACCAAACTGTAGACGATGCTGTATAACTGTTGATGATGGTGCAAAACAAAGACGGATTTCTTCTATAGACGATTTATTGTATTTTCTTCTTACTGGACTAGCTTGACTTACTGCTTGACTGATTGACTGCTTGACTGACTGCTGACTGACTACAAATATTTACAAATTTGGCCCTACCCTTATTCTAAACTTAACATCTAACTTAGATACTAGTGACGCGCGGCGGCCGACCAATCACAGCGCGTTTTACGCCCGCGCGCCGGGTGGGGGAATCGCCCCCACCGTGCGGACGGCGCCTACGCAGCCAATGGGCTCCCCGATAATTCCGCTAATGTAGGCGCTGTGATTGGTCGTTCGATCTGTACATTTTTCGGCACGTGGCTGTCTTCAACAGTCTCCCCCCGGCGAAGGATCTCCGCAGCCTCCTCCGGTTGGCAGCCCGTGCCCGTCGCGCAGCGCGTCCTCTCTCATCGTTCCGTGGAGAGTGCAGGTTCGACGACGATCAGCTTCGATGTCGGCCGCCGAAATGTTCCTCCTCTTGTGGTTATCTCCACGTTCCGAATCACGCCGTCAGGTCCAGGGTAGGTATTGGCTACGATGCCGCGTGGCCACGTGTTTCGAGGCAGAGCGTGGTCGGCTATGATAACCACGTCTCCGATCCGTACTTCGCTGCTTCGTGGACGTTGTGGGTCGCGGCGTGGTACGAGGGTCGGTAGGTACTCTCGTAGCCAGCGTTTCCAGAAGGCGTCGGCTAGTGCTTGCGTCGCCCTCCAAGTCCTGCGGTCGCCCTCTTCACATGGCCCGGTGTATGGAAGGCCGGTCGATGACCCCAACAAGAAGTGGTTTGGGGTTAGCGCCTCCGGATCGCTTGGGTCTACGGAGACATGCGTCAGTGGTCGCGAATTGACAGCATGTTCCGCCTCGGCCAGTAGAGTGTGCAGGACCTCCTCTTTCGGTGCTCGTTCGTTTAATGTGGCGTTGAGCGCGGTTTTCACGGAGCGAACCATGCGTTCCCAGGCTCCGCCTTGGTTAGGTGCTCCCGGCGCGATGAATTTCCATGTGGCATCGTAGTTCATCGCCTCTCTCTTCAGCTCGGGAAGCCACTCGGTGTACGCCTTCTTGAGCTCGGTGTCAGCCCCTCGGAAGTTAGTGCCGTTGTCACTATATATTACGGCGGGCCATCCTCGTCGTGCTGCCATTCTTCGCAGCGCCATGATTGCGGAGTCGGTGGTGAGTGATGCCACCAGCTCCAGGTGCACGGCGCGTATCGTCAGACAGGTGAATAACGCCACCCATCTTTTCTCTCTTCGTCTTCCAATTTTGATGGTGACTGGCCCGAAGTAATCAATCCCACAATGACTAAAGGGACGTCTGAAGGGCTGTAAACGTTCTGCGGGCAGATCCCCCGTCGGCGGGCTCCTTGGCTTCGATCTTCGTAGTCGACACATAAGGCAGCCTGCTGCGACTTTCTTAACTGTTGGTCGCAGCCGCAGGATCCAGTACTGCTGCCTGACGTCGTTGACCACTCGCTCGTTGTTGCAGTGTCCCGCTCGTCTGTGCTCTCGATCAATAATTTTCTTCGCGAGTTCGTGGCGTCCGTCCAATAATACCGGCTTCTTCGCTGTTTCCGGTACGTCCGCCTTGTTAATGCGTCCGTTTAGTTTCACAAGCCCGTCTTCCCAGGTGAGGTCGTAACGGTGTAGAGGGCTCGTTCGTGCTACGGGGACTCCTTTCTTCAGGCACTCGATTTCTTGGCTGAAGGAGTCTTGTTGCGCCTGCTGCAGCCATAAATTTGTCGCTCGGTTGAAATGTTCGCGGCTGAGTGTCTTCGTTCTGTCGCGACATCTTTCCACGAAGAGTAGCGCTTGTGCTGTTGCGCCGATCAGTCGCTCGAACGTCGAGAATCTTTCTATCTCCGGTAACGCCGCGTTTCTCTCTGTTGTGTGCGTGATGACGTGCGTTATTTCCATCGTTTCCTCGTCTTCTCGATTCGTTGGTTGCTTCGGCCATTCCGATCTTGGTAACTTCAAGAAGGATGGTCCCGTGAACCACAGGTCGTTTTCGTTGGCTGGCGTATAACCGGCGCGTGTGGCGACGTCGGCTACGTTCAGATGCGTCGGTATCCATCGCCAGTCTTGCGGTCTGGATGACTCAGTTATTTCTCCCAGACGGTGTGCGACGAATGGAGTGTAGCGCTTGCTTCCATTCCGCAGCCAATGAAGCACCGTCTGAGAGTCGCTCCAGTACACGGTGTCGTCGACGTTGACACGGTGTTCTTCTCTGATTGCTTTCGCTAGTCGCGTTCCGATGAGGGCCGCTTGAAGTTCCAGGCGCGGTACGGTTTGGGTCTTCAAGGGCGCGACCTTAGCTCTTGCCGCTATCAGGACTGTCTCGATGACATGGCCGGGTCCGTAGTGCAACCTCCAATACGCCGCCGTTGCGTAGGCTTCTTCGCTGGCGTCGCAGAATACATGAAGCTCACGGCGACGCACTTCTCTCCCCCCGTTGTAACTACGGGGTAGCCGTAGTTGGTCGATTGCTGGCAGGCTTGTCAACCATGCATCGAAGTCCTCGCTCAAGTCGGATGGTAGAGGGTCGTCCCAGCCGGTCTTGAGGCGCCATAGTTTTTGAAGAGTTATCTTCGCTGTGATTGTGAAGCAGCTGAGCAGTCCGAGCGGATCGTATATGCTCATCACCGTCGATAATGCTTCTCTTTTCGTCGGCGGGCGTTGTCGAGACTTCACTGGCAGTGGGACTCTAGGCAGGGCGGTGTTGAAGCCCAGCCGATCGGTATTTGCATCCCAAAGCAGGCCCAATGTCTTCTCTGTGTCTCCAAACGTCGTCGTCCCGCTTTTGGCTCTACTATCCGGGTTCACGGCTTGTAGTAGCTTCCTATTGTTACTGTTCCATCCCCTCAGGTGGAATCCAGCCTTCTGGTGCACTGCGTCGACTTGGGTGATGACTTCGTGGGCCTCTCTCGGATCATTGAAGCTGTCGACGAAGTCATCCATGTAGTGCGCTTCGGTGATTGCGCGCAGTGCTGCAGGGTGCGTCTCAGCATGCTGTCTCGCGTTGTGGTCCCTCACGCTGTGTGCGAGGAACGGTGAGCTCGATGCGCCGAAGATCATCGATGTCATCTTCAGCTTGCGCGGTGGTTCATTCTGCCTGCAGTCGCGCCACAGGAACATCTGTGCGGGTTGGTCCTCGCGGCGTATCTTGATTCGCAGGAACATTTCCTCGATGTCAGCTGTCACCGCGTATGCGCCCTCTCGGAACCGGAATAAAATGGTCTGCAGCGATCGTAGCAGATCCGGCCCTTCGAGTAGGTGATCGTTCAGGCTGACACCTCGAATTCTTGCTGCTGCGTCGAAAACCAGTCGCAGCTTCCCGGGCTTATTGGGATTCCTGACGGCGAAATGCGGCAGGTACCATGCGACGGGGCTAGCGTCCTCGGAGCCGTCGCAGGGTTCGGCGTATCCCTTTTTCTACGTAGGTTGTCGATCCTCCGCTGGTATTCTTCCCTGTCGCGTGGATCTTTCTCTCAGCTTGTTCTCCAGATTCGTGAGCCGGCGGAGTGCTGAGTCGTAACTCCGTGGCGCCAAAAAGGCTTTTTAAAAAAACAAATATCTCACTCGCGACGGTTTATCTATGAATATATGCGAGGATTAAGGGATCCTAGACAACCGCTCCGGATGGGTATTGAAATCAGACTGATTTAATTATTGAGTGCTACTAATGAAGCTCTGAGAAGAGACTGCTGACAATGCTTAGCAGTTGCTATAAGCCTAACTACAGAAGGGTATAACATCTCCCCCTTTAAGAGGAGACTTGGGGTAGACATCTAAAGTCTCCGTTAAATTCTTGATCGAAGTGGGGCAATAGGGTTCATTTCTATTTCTGGGTCTTGTCTGTCTGTCTGTTCGGGAATCTGTGCTACTGGCCTTCTTAATCTAAACTTAAATTGAAAGAGAGGGTTGCCGTCGGATTTACAAATTTTCTTATAAATAAAATAGACACAATACAAAAGAAATACTACTAAAAGTAAAATAGTACATATGGAGTAATGTGTCCCATATTTTAAAATGTGTGGTATCGGTGTGTTTTGATTATTTTCCAATTCGGACAAAGATTTCATTAATAATTTGCTTTCTAAATTAAAATCGTCTAAATCTATATTCTGTAATCTAATAGGGGACACATTATTCACTAATTCACTAATCTTATATATGTTACAGCAAGTGTCGTTGATTAGGTTAAAATTTGGGAAATGGTTAATAGGCGACGTAATATTTAAAGCATATCTAGGAAGTAATGTAGTACTTTTACAATATCCAATACAAT